AGAAATAAGAGTTGGTGAGTAACCGAATATGAGACATGAGGAAGGGTAAGACAATGAGGATAACTTGAGATTTGAGCCTCAGAGATTGAGCAAATCAGGGAGAGGAGCTTTCTGGGAGAAACTGTTAGAGTTGAATCTCTTGAGTTTCTGGGACACGTTAGTGGAAATCCCCTCAAAGAGGTAATTTAGGCTCCTAAAGAAATTCAGGGCGCCAAGACAAAGAGCAGGCATAAAGGACCAGGGAATGCTCCCACTCAAGGCTAAGTGGACGAAGACACCCGTTAAAGAAGGTATTTCTTGTCACTTGCTATATTTATTTATCAAGAATTACATTTATCATTTATTATGTTAAAAAATATGTTCTTCAACTACCCTGCAGTAATATTGTGACATCTTATCGCATAATTAAGCACAACCTTCTAATCCTACAAATTACTTTCTAAGAAGTAATGAGTCAGTCAAATTTTAATTTTTATGTAAAATTGTCTTTATATTTTGCCTCCTGCCAATCAACCTTCTTTGAAACTAAAAGGAAATGTACATGCTCCCTAGGTTTGAGAAGTTTCCTAGTTAAGTTTGCGCCTTCAGCCATGAGAGAGCCCCGCAACCCCCTCCTTTCTAGCAGATTCTCATTGAGTGCGCCCATCCAGAGAAGACAGCTGGAGGGAGAGAAAGTAAATCTATTCCAATGACTAAGTAGCGTATGTACACACACTTTATTTTTAAAAGCACTGTTCTATAAATGACTCTAAAAAAGTGAGATGCTAAGTACCCTAATGCCATTTGTTTCTTGCTAGCAAAATGGCAGTATTTCAACATCTATCAAAGCTGTAGCAAATATTTTATGAGTCACAGATAGACAGACTTATACAAAATACGCGGTTACATGGATTATAATTAAGCCAATACTTTTGCCTAGTTGTCTGAAGGAGACCAAGCTGACAAATTCCCTACTCAATTTTAAAAGAATTAAGACTGTTTCTTCAGTTTATCAGGCAGGCAAATGCTGTTTAGAACTTCTAACCTCTCAGAAGTAAGAGTCAAGTAATTCTGTAGCTACCTTTCAAAGGGCATCAACCCCATGGGGTTTGCATAATGTATTAATAATTTCTACAGAATCTCTTAAGTCAGAGAACTACAGAGATCTTCACAAGCATCTAACTGGACTTTCAGACAAGAAAATCAAAGCTTACAAAGGAAAATGACAGCCCAAGTTTACCCAGCCAGTTGGAGACTAAGCCAAGATTTGGTTAATCCCAGTATTTTATACTAGATAGCAAAAAGCTCTGTACTCTTAGAATGTGCACACTAATTCTCTAGCTTTAACTCACTGGCAATTTTTACCTAAGATTGCTCATTAATAAACAAAACAATTGTTTATGTTTTCTTCAGTTACATGCCACTTAATAATGGCATGATGCAAAATAAGACCCTTCTTCCTCCAGTTGTTCTGGGATTATGTCAACAGAGAAGTGCCTCAGTAATAATGCCCAAATCATCAGTTCCTCCCACCTGTAAAGTAGAAATAGTCATCCTTGTCTAACAGCCGCCTTCTTTCTTTTTTTTTTTTATGATTTATATGCCTGGAAAAGCTACTTCTAAAGTATGTTATTTCTATTATACAGTTATAAAACACATGAAGCAAAATATTTTCACGCAAAACACTTTTTCTCCATTAAAAAATGACATATGGCACCCAGATTCTCAAGAGCTAGAATGCTCAGAAAAAAAAAGCATATTTTACCCTGAACACAGGACTTGGCCAGTGGAGATCGGCTGTTGGAAGTAGAGACAGGCAAAAGATGGATTGTAAATATAAGGGAAACAAGAACGTATTTGAAAGGGAAGCCCATCTTTTATGATTTCTTTAATACTTTGGAAACCCTGAGTACGATTTATAATGTTGAGTTTATATCTTTCCACCAAACATTTATTTCTACAAAACATTTTCTTAACTCTCTAGGTAAGAAGAGTAATATAAACCTCTCTCCCATATCAAGATTATAATAATCTCTGTATGCTGAGGCTAAAATACACAATATCACTAGACCATGTAAGAGAAAGGAAACATTTGTGCCTCTTATATCACATTCATTTTTACAAGAGAAGGAGAAATGATTCAGTGTGTCTTTGTGTCTATTGCTCCTTTGGAAGACTTTTGACCTACAGGTTAGAATACCTATTCTTGTCTTCCTAACTATGCTTTAAAAGACTACAGGTGAGGCAAACACAGCTATGGCATCCATTATCTCTATAGAGATTAGAGAACCGGTTGCTTAGTCTTTTGCATACTCAAAAAGTACAGACTGAGAGGGTTATTAATAAATCCTTTTATTTTTTTAAGCTGGAAGAACATTGGAGCCTAGCAATCCAACCACAGACAACTTAACTTTAAGATCCAGAAAGGATTGGTGACAATAACAAAGATGCAAATTTGATTCCCTGAATTTGCAATTATTGCTTGAGGGATATTATTCTAAATGTATGTCACTAAATAACTTGATGTTAGGTATAAACTATAATATAGTTAGAAAGTGACTTTTTGTCTGTAAAAGTGTATTTTAGAGACAAATTTGGCATATATTTAAAATTTCTAGCTAAACAGCAAAAATATTTTTCTCAGGTGGCAAGGTGGATTCCAATGTCTTCAGAAATCCTGGCGAAAGCCCTTCTCCAGTAGGAAAGACTATGGGGGTGGAAAAAATGAACAACAGAAACTGATAGTGTTAAAACTGGAAGATGAAGTACAGGTAGCAAAATGCCTCAGAGAAGTCACCACAGTAGGGTTTATGCATTAACATTAGCTGAGAAGGTCGATAGAAATGAAAGTGCCTAGAGCATTGGGAAATAGATATTATCATAACAAAAGTGTCTGATATCCAAAAACACAGGTTTGCCCTAAATCGGCAAAGACATCAAAGTACATCCTCTTCTCAACTGACCTCCTCCCTCGCCTCCCCCCACACACACTTAGTACAGTTTATCTTTGAAAGGGGAATCACTGCAATTATCATCAGTTTGCAATGACCCATGGACTCCTCGTTCTGTGTAATACATATTTCACCGCTTCACATTTAAAGACTAGCAGCCATAAAAAGGTATTATATGACCTAGGAAGGAAAACAGTTTACTTTCTTAATAATAAACACATGAAAAGTGATTTCTCTATGCTTATCTAACATGGTAGCCTCATATTTCACCCAGGCATGGATTGATCCAAGCACATGGTGATGACAATCTCTGGGAAAAGTTTCTGAATTTCTTTAATGAAAGTCTAACAATGAATTATTGAATGCTAGGAAATAAACCCATGACTTCTTATCTACCTTCAAAGCGAAGTCCATAATTCTACTGAAATGACTCTCTCAACAAAATTGCATTGTATTTTGAAAAGACAACTTTGTAAAAGAAAGTTTCAACTATTCTTTTAGGTTCTCTTATAGCAGTTTATTAGTTTCAAGAACAGTCATTTAATGGATTCAGTAAAATTGCTGTTGTATGACTGCTAAAGTGTTTCATCTACAGATATAACCTCCATACAAAAAGTTAATACAGAAGAAATATACGTTTTTCACTGTCCACTAATGACCGTAAACTTAACACTTTGCCCATCTTCTAAATCACTCCTCTAGTTCCAAGAATTGCCTGTAGTTACTCACCATATTTTGACATTATTGTTATAATAATGTGTGGAATTTTGAAACAACTGATTTCCTCATTTTATGGCCTCATTCAGTGCTCCAGATCACTACCATTTGGCAAAAATGAGATTGTAATTTTCAAATGACAGGATGGTGGTTTACTTTACAGTATACATAAATGATAATTTAAATCTCATTCACCTCTATTCTATTTGGACTTTTAAATCACAAGAAAGTGAGACCAACAATTAAAAGTCAGGGTCCTAGAGCTTTGGTATTAACTCTCTGCATTAACACAACACTAAAAATCTATAAGATGTTTTGTATATACTAAAATCATCCTCTTGTTTCTCCTCCTCTAGAAAAGCTCATTTAATTTAAATACATGTACATTTAGTTTATTACCCACTTTTATGAAAATTAAGTATTGAAGAGTAAAAAGACAGGAAGATTACTTTCTAAAAAGCATTAAATGTATTGATTCTAAAATGATATAAACTTATATTCTTAGCTCTTAAAGAAACACAGACTATTTTTAAAATTTCACTTTTTTATGTGTTATGCACCCACCTCTTTATCTCTCTAAAAGCCTAACAAGGAAAATTGATTTTAAGCTTTGTCATCTCAGCCTAGATACTAAAAGCAGCCAACATTACTACTGTTACATATCTGTCTTTCTCTTTATTATACAAGTATATCGATGATGTAATTGCAGAAGTTCGGGTTCACTCAAGCTGTTGGATCAAAGGGATTTTTTTTTTTAAACTGTCTCCTCCAGCACCATAGAACAGTTGTAAAACAGAACCAGGCACATAATGTAAACAACTCTTGAAAGTAAATCTGCAGGATCTTCCTGTTGAAGGACTGATCAAGAGCTAGAAATGCAAAACCACTGGTAAAGCTTGGTGTGCTCCAGATTAGAGGCTGAGCTAGAAAAACAATACTAGTCTATGACATCTTGGCTTTTAACCCTTTCCTGGAAGCCTCAACTTTTGTTCTCTGTTGAGCTCTAATTTTTTTTCCTCCAAAATTCCAAGGAATTAGGGAATATTATCCCAGCCTTTCATCCCAAGCCTGTTCGCCCCTATGCAGATAATTTCCCTGAAAGTTGACTGGAAACTAAGCAATCATGTATCATTCTGCATTTAAAATATAGCAAGGAGACCAAGAAGTCTGGGATCTTCAACAGGATTACAAACACAGGACAGCTGGGCTTTTTACAAATGCAACTACTACACTAAGAGGACACCACGGTTGTAATTCAAAGTGCAAAGGAAAAAAGAATCAACAAGAAAAGAGACACACAAAAATCGCATGCAGATGAAGCAGCAGCGAATACAGAGGGGAAAGGGAACATACCTGAGGGATTCTCCTTTAAAAAAAAAAAAAATGTACACGCCAGCTGGGTTGTTCCTCCCCTCCTTTAGGAGAGTGTATGTGTTTTCCTTTCAGGAATCCCGCTTGCAATCCTGTTTCTAATCCCGTTTCCTTTCTTGGGCCACAAATAGTTAGGGCAGGAGCAGAGGCTGCGTCCCGGGGATCCGACTCCTGTGCAATCAGGCGTACCTTGCTCTGCAACGGTGTCTGTTCCGCTCTTGTCAATTCTATCGCGCTCCCCGGGGCGGTCTCCAAAGCAATTCTACAACTTAGCTGCTGGCAAGAAACAACTGCCTTGCACTCTTCTCATTGGCACGTTTCTTCTTCTTCTTCTACGAGGGCAGCAAATGTCTGGCGACCCTTTCTCTAAGAAAGCAAGATGGGATCTCTCCCCTCCCCGTGTGCAAATGAGCGCCCAGGCGCGTCAACCATTGACGGTGAGGAGCAGGGGCGCTGGGTGCGTGCTGGCAACTTTACACGCCGCCCGCCGCCGCCGGGGCTTTTCCGAATGCAGCAGCAGCAGCAGGGTGATGTCCCCAGCCTCCTCCACCGCGCGCGGCTCTGCCCGCAACCCTGCCGCCGCCGCCGCCCAGGCTGCACGGAGCAGCTCCGCGCGGGCGAGCCACAGCCCCGGCTCGCAGGGGACGCGCCGGAGCCGCCGCCAGGTGTGGCAGTCACCGCCGCACTGACAACTGAACTGTGTTGGGGCACGGCTTCATCCCCGCTGGGGAGGGACGCCCGGATGCCAGAGCCTCCTCAGCCTCGTCTTTCCCTCGTCACACTGCAGGACGACCTAGGAAGGGACACTCGGAGCCAATTCTGCCACCTCCTTCCAGCAGGCTAACGTGGGCGCAACGAAATGACCCACGTTATCTGACAATCCCTGTCTTTAGATACAGTCGGCTGTGCCTGGAATCGTGGAAAGTACACTGCGCACGCTGTAATTCCCACTGAGCCACCCAGACGCAGCTAGTGGGATTCCCTATTTAGATGGAGGAGATACTGACATCTCATCCCCCATCCGTTTTGCCTCTTCTTCTACCGTGGAAACCTATCTGAAGGTGATTTCTCAATATTATGAACTAAAGACACATATATACACAGCAAAGTGGGGAATGGTGGAAAACTTAACAGTGCTACAAAGGTTTTTTTGTGTGTTTTTTTTTTCTTCTCCCTTGGGAATAATGTCTTTCCCATTTGATGTTAACATTTTAAAGATCTGGCTGGGAATTGAATGGGCTGGCTTGCTTTTTTTTTAGTTTTGCTGAGTAGAGGAGGTGGGGGAGTAACAGCTCTCACTTTGCATCAATAAAGCATTCTCAATCCTCTAATCCTCCTGTTGAAATAAATAAAATAAAAAAAAGTACCAACTCTTAAAATAGAACCTTAAAGAAGCTCAAGTCCTAGAATAATTTGGAGGTTTTAAGCTGCATCTGCTCTACCAGCTTATTTTACTTTTCTTTCCTTTTTAGAACATGGGAGGATGTTTTCAGAACTGTAGCGCAGTCAACTAACTAGTAGCTAAGATTAAACAGTGTAAGAAGCCATATACACAGATGCATATGGCATCTTTTGGTACATGTAAGATTGAATATGCCATGACTAACATTAGAATTGACTCTACCTAAATATTTAATAAAAGTTGCCAGCAAAATGAACAGTCAAGCCTGATATAACATTTCTTGGCAAAATTTGTGGCAAAACATATTTCGCCTACCATATGTCACAACCAATAAATAACCTCTCCATGCATTCTTTTAAAACGTGTCCTCAAATTAGACATACTATATATGGCAGGTACTGGCTAGCGGAGAGGGCTCCCCATTGGCAGTTCTCAGCCCCACCTTTAGTTCATAGGAGCACAGCTTCCCTTGCCTGCTGCTTAATTGACTGTTAATGGACTTGAGCAGCTGCTCAAGGTCTAAATCTGCATCAGGGGCTAACACTGGGGCAGATGCAGATCCCTGCTGCCTTCAGTCATCACTGGAGTGGCACCTATTCAGAGATTTTTTTTTTTTTTTTTTGGGCTATGCAATAACCAGACCAAAATTCTGAAGCTATGCTCAGCTGAGAGTCCCAAGCACCCAGAATAAGGCAAATGTGTATAAGCCCTCAGTAAATTGGGATATAATGTCAGTGATTTCAATGTTTAAACCTGTAGAAGGAAACATCAGATTATCCTCACCATGAGTGGTCTACAAAATATGTATGTATACATACATACATATTTTGAATATAATGAAAAGAGTTATAAAAATATTGCTCTAATTCAAATACTCTCAGAGAGGAAATAAATAACACCAGGGGTGGTGATCATCAGTCTTTGCTGGTAAGAGGAAATAATGTTTTATGAATGCTCCAATGCCAGTATGTGTATTCTAATGAATGCACTGCTAAGCTCTAATGATCAGGATTCTGCTCTTATATTTCAAAATGGAAATTGTTTACATCTCTGAAAGTGGCAGGAATCATGTATCTGAGGGACACCGGCTGCTAATAAAATATGTTACTGTTAGAATGACAGAGCTTTATGACTTGATTGACCTGCAGGGACACCAAAATCCCTCACAGAACTTCCTTGAGTTTTGATGGGTCGTTTTCACCTGCTGAGTACCTGATTTGAATAATGTATAATTACAGTGATGTGACTACAACAATATGTTAGAGTCCTACACATTCTTGTAGACAAGATGCATTCTATTTCTGCAGAGAGCTATTCAAACTCCTGGATTAATAACATTAAACACCACAAGACAGGAAATGTGTAATTTCTACTTACATACTTGCCACTCCACAGATACATGTCCCAAAACTTACTCACAGATCAATTGATGAAATAAGATCATTTCTCCTTCAAATCCTTCGGCAGTAATTTAAGAAAAACTAAAACCTCTAGGGCAGGGGTTCTCAAACTTTTTAAACAGGGGGCCAGTTCACTGTCCCTCAGACTGTTGGAGAGTGCGGACTGTGGGCCCAGGAAGAGTTGGCTGCTAAGCAGGACAGGCAGCAGCAACAAAAACACCAGCAGGGCCAAATAAAAGACCTAGGCAGCCCGCATGTGGCCCGCGGGCTGGCCATAGTTTGAGGATGCCTGCTCTAGGGTATCCTTCCCCTCATATCCCAAGACTGGGCCAGATCATTTGTCTCATTTAGGTTCAGGTGGAAGAAAAGCAAGGCACCTGGGTCATGGGTTGCTTTTTTTAGTAAGTAGTGAAGCTTGACTAAACCAAAAGTACCAAATAAAAGGTCAATCTTACAGAGTTCTGTTACTGTGTACCTGTATTCAAGCAATAGAGGAATTCTTGAAAAAGCATAAACAAACTCTATGTGCCTTGAGTCATATTTTCAGTTTTCTAGGAGACCTCACTCTTTATTTTGGGGAAATGATAACCAATCATTGTACCTCGCTATTAAAATAAATAAATAATAAAACCTCTCACCAGTAATCCATGCAAATGAATTGTCAAAATAGAGTGTCATAATTAACGACGAAAGCATGATTACACCTAAAAAAGCAAGTTAGTGTTTCTAGCTTTAAATAAGTAAATAATGTATAGGGGAACAAATATTTGGGAATAAACTATCTAGTGCAATTTGGAAGAATGTGCCTCACATAGATTACATGATAGTCGAACACACATTAAGTTCTATTCTATTCTGAAATTAAAGCTTTCCATTAAATTATGGGTCATTTAAAGATGGCACCTTTGAGCAGAATTGACAGGGTGTCACTCCATAGACAAGGTTCTAGGAGGCACTGCTGCTGCTTCTTTGCCTACTCTCAGTTTGCTCACTCTGGGGGGAGTTGCCATGTCATGAGGACACTCAAGCAACCTAGGGGGACGCCCACATGGCAAGTAACTAAGGATCCTGCCAACAGCCATACAGGAACTGAGACCTCCTACCAACCATCACGCGCACAAGCCATTTTGGAAGCTGCCACTCTGGCCATGTTCAAGCTTTCAAATAACTAGAGTCACTGCTGACTGCTGAAGGAAACCACATGAGAAACCAAAAGGCAGAAAAACCCAGCTCAGCTAGTCTCCAATTTCTGTCCCACAGAAACTGAGAGATAACAAATGTTCATTTTTAAAGCTAACAACAACAAAAAAACTTTTAAATTTTCACATGAGGAATTCGACTGACTATTTTTAACTGAGATTTAAATACACCTAAATGATTTGAGAAGTAAAATTTTAGGCTCAACAAATTTCATCACAAGATGAGTATGCCATACTTCCGTAATCCGTATTGGCAGTGCTTGTCTCTGTGCCTTCATTCTTAGCACTTTTATAGCTCTCTGTTGCAGCACTGGTATTGTTTTTATATTTTTATTAATTTTTTCAGAGACAAGGTTCTTGCTCTGATGGCTAGGCTTGACTGCAGTGATGTAGCTCACTGCATAGCTCACTGCAACCTCCAACTCCTGGGCTCAAGTGATCCCCCTGCCTGAATTTCCTGAGTAGCTGGGACTGTAGGCATGTGCCACCACACCTGTCTAATTTTTCTTATTTTTCTGTAAAGACAAGGTCTTACTATGTTGTCCAGGCTGGTCTTGAACTCCTGCCCTCAAGCCTCCCAAAATGCTGGGATTAGAGGTGTGAGCCACTGTGCCTAGCCAGCACTGGGTTATTATAAAGTACAGTAACTACTAATTCGCTCATCTGCTTGCCTTTCCTTGTTAGACTGTGAGCTCTTTGAAGGCAGAGACCATGGTTTACGGTTTATCACCAATGCCCTACCTAAGGCGAGACTCATTAAAGGTAGGTTGAATGAGTAACAGTGTCCTTAGTTAGTAAAGCACAGAGTTAACGAGGCTAAGGACATGGGTTGAGTCCCTGTGTAGCCAATTAGCTGTGTTCTATTTCTTGGTCCAAATGGCGCCCTTAGTTCTCACCAGCTGTCTCAGAAATTTATGCCAGAACAAACCTTCTAACTATATATTCCAACAGTAATGAGTCGGTGACACGATAATAATGTCTAACGTTTAGCACCCTTACAAATGTTATTACATATATTTTCTTACTTGATACTTATCTTTAAAAACCTGCAGAACATTATAGTAGTATTGTTATTGTTCCCATACTATAGCGATGAAACAGAGACTTAGAAAGACTTGCATGCCTTGTCTGACTGTGCAGAACTAGCAAGTGGTTGAGACAGGAGTCAAAATAAGGCAGTGAACTATTTTCAAAACTGGTTCCACTGCAAAGCAGACAGATATTTATTTAAACTAACATTGTAATAAATGGCACAACCCTATAAGGTTTCTAAAATTTTTTTAATAATTAAAGAGAGTTAATTATTCAAGCAGACACTCTTAGAATATTTCTGCTTGGGTAATGATCATTAGATGTGGAATGCTGTTGTGTGTGACAGCATCTATACTTTTATTCTGTCGTTCATTTTTTTGTTTCCTGCGGTAAAATTAGTTGTCAGCACTGTACTTCATCAAATCATCACATTTTTTCAAAGACACTCTACAT